TTTAACTGTACACATTTGGTGAGATATTTCCCAAAGGAAGAAAGAAATCATGTTGATAGAATGTACTGTTGGTATTTTTATTCTGAAACTATAAATGAGGTTAAGTTAAAAATCCTAGTCATGAATTGAATTGGTAGCCATGTATTTTAACTTTCAGATTCTTTGCTTCTGTGATGATTGATGTTTGGGATATATATATATATATTATAAATATTGTCTTTCTAGATGGTATGTAAGACTGTATCGTTAGAGATGAACTGGGTCTTCAATTATAGAAGAGCTTTAAAAACTAATTCCTGGAAAGTTTATTAAGAACTTCTGTTTGAGTATTCTATATCCAAGGGAGTGTCAACATTAGTTTGTGTTTCTTTTTATTTTAGCTGTGCTTAAGAAATCTTTTCACTCTAGCTGTACTTAAGAACACTCTTATAATGCAAATGCTAATCATTTGCCTTATCTTGCAGAACAGGAAGCTGAGGCACAGGACTCTTGAGACTTGCTCAATGAGTTAGAAAATATCTAGTGAATTAGGTAGTGAATCAGAACTATCTCGTATTTATAAGCTAGGATTCCACATTTTTAGACTAGAATTTAATTATCCTGAGAGGTTGAATAATTTCCTATCTACATGAAAGAGTAAACAATGGAATACCATAGGACTTTTATTGATGCTGTTGGTTTTGTTTAGTTTATCAATAGGGATCAGATAAACTTTATGATGAGACCCCTTAATCAAAATTCATGAATTTAGAATAAGAAACAGCTAGGCATAGAGAGTAAAGAAAAAAACTGAGATACTGTAGAGTTTGGAAGCAGAGCCTATCACTCTAAAATAGGGCTATAAAGTATTACACCAGCTTCAGAGAGCTAGTTTCAGGTATATTTAGTTCCCAGTAAGGAAACTCCCACCAGTTCCTTTCTAGTTCTTACTTTAATATGTAAGCCTTAATTTATCATAGGGATATAATATTTAAGCTACTATTCTTAAGAAGTTCATGAAATATTTTGTTTTTCAAGAAAAAAATGTATTAATAGAAGAATTCCTGAACTGAATAAAAAATGAAAAAAAGGTTCAGGGTCTTGTGAGTCTGATGATAGACAAATTCATGCCTACATAAAAGTTTCTTTAGCTGAATTAAACACTTTTAACCATGTGCCATGTAACCTGTAGAAGAAAGCCCAGTTCTAGTTTTATATTTATGGGGAAGTCTACAAAGTTGTATTTTGTCTTCATTTACTTAATTCTAAATAAAAACACAATTAGTTCAAATATTAGTATCAGAGGTTTGATCATAATTTCTGGTTGAACAAAATAATCTCCCAAGTTCTCATACCCAACTTCTTTATACTCTTTCACCTCCTGCATCTTCCCCTGCCTCCTACATACACCTTTCTTCTGCAAAAGCCATCCTATGCCCCTTCTTTCAAGGAGCCTCAACCACAGTTTTCAGTGCAGTAACAACCACCCCTGTGATGGCATCAAACCCGCAGTAAGCATGGCTTTGGTCATTCAAAATGTAATCTCAGCCTTGCACACTCAACGTCCACTATAAAATCACTGGGAGCTACAGACACATACCTGTGTGTTGTGTTTTGTGTGTGCTGTTTGACTAGGGCAAGTCAATAACCACAGCGCAGCAATGCTTTTAACCCTAAAACAACAGAACCTACAAGCAAGCACAAACTGAACTAACTTACTTGCTTACTCTCTAATAACATGAACAGCATTTTACTGGCTAGTTGCTTCACATAGAAAAACAAATTTAAGACACAAACGTAGAGTTACACTGTCGCCATCAACAGAGTTTGATTAACAGCTTTGTAAAGTTTTATTATAGCTAACAATCAGAAATAGAGTAAAAATAACCAGTTCAAGAGTTCTGCATTATAATGAGGGCATTCTATAAAGGAAAACATTATTTGAATACATAAATATTTATCACTAATACACCAATTAGACTTTGTCCCTGTTGATTCACTCAAATGGACATATTTCCATATGTTTTAAAAGCATCTAAATGCAAATTTGGTAACAGTAAATACCTAATCATTATTTGTAAACTCCTCGGAATATTAAACAATTCATAAATTCTTCATTCAATCAACTCAGCCATTCACTGTGATCTAACTCACAGACATGGTTAGGTTTAGTTTTTCTTCTTCAATAATGACCAAAACTTTTTAAGCATGGGGAAAGCAGGTGGACTATGGCTTCCATATGGCAGAAGTTAAGATAATTTTAATCAATCTTTTTCATAATTGTCAGTCATGTATAGATACATATGAAGCATCTTTCACTGGTGTCATTCACAAACCACACTTAACACTATATTGCAAAACAGAACCACCAACAATGAAATCTTCAAATCCAGTGGGTGCCTTAGCAGGGCTGAGACTAGAGTGATGTTTAAGAGGTACCTAGGTGGAAATTTTAAAGAGGCACTCTCTTGAAAGACCCTGAGAGTGAGTGTACCCTTATATTTTGTACCCTAGGTGCCTCATTTGTTTCACCCTAGTCTCTGCCCTGCAGGAGAGCCCCAAAGTGATATTGGCCATAGTAGTCCAGGTTACTTGATATCCATATCGCATGTCTGAAGCTAAGTAAGCTTTAGAACCAATCTTACCTCAGACAGAAAGGGTTTACTCACCTCCAAACCAGTACCTGGAGACACAGCCATTTCCCTTAACAGACCAAGACCAGCCTGCTATGCTTCCTTACCAAGACTAAGGTGCTGCCTCCTCCCCACAGTGCTTATGTGATAAGGACCCAGTAGTATCCCTTCCAGATACTAGAGCTCTGCTTATAAAAATCAGTCCAATATCTCAGGTCCTGTCATCTTCTGACAGAATTTCTGATGCACATAACGTATTTAGATTACAATATCATTACTCCCTTGATTTTACTCCTTGTTATTTGGTCCTAGAGTCCATCTGATTCCCACCCCATACAATTTCCAGTGCTGTCTGCTTAATGAGGCAACCCTTTGGCCTGCTAGTCTAGGCTTCTTAGGAAGAGCTTGTGGTTCAGCCTATCTTGTTCCAATTTACTCCCAGTTAGTCCCACTCCATCAGAGTTAACAGACCATGTAAAGACTGTGGCCGCCAAAAGTACCTCCAGCCCTGTTGACAATCACTAGAAGTAAAAGAGATGACATATCTTCAATAAGAAACAGTCAAGCATTTCAAGCATGGTTCTTTCCATTCCATTCGTTCATAAACCTTGCTGTGTCAAATTCATCTGGGGCAACTTCTGATTTATCTATGTAATGCATACTTTGATACTACTTACTATGTACCTGAAATTGTTATACTCTACAAAAATTAACTCATTTAATCCTCACAGCAACCCTTTTAGGTAGGTACTATTATTACTCCCATTTTACAGATTAGGAAACTGGGGCTTGGGAGGTTAATGACTTAACCAAAGCTACACATCTAATAAATGTAGAAGCCAAAATTCAAGCCCAGCCTTTTGATTATAGGGTAAATGGTAAGGACTATGTTCGGCAGCAGATAACCATATCCATTCCCAAAGACTTGTTTCAGTAAATCTGGAGAAAGGACTGAGAAATATGTATGTATATGAACAAGATTTTCAGGAGATTTTGTATGAGAAGAGCACCCACCTGTTAACTAGTATTTAGGAACCACAGCACTATTTCACACCTCATCTGGGAGAGAAAAGGAGAACCATGTGGCTAAAAACAAATCTGTATTGAAGTCCACTGAGAAAGCAAGGAAAAACAGTGCTTGGGAGAGCTATTCATTCAAAACCTTGGAAGCCAGACTAATAACACATGCTATTTTTACAAAATGGTCAATAGTGAACTACGTATTGTTAAATAGACTGAAATATATTAAGAATGTAGTATCAGACTGCTACATAGCATTAATACACATGAAATTATTCTATTAAGTAGGATATACGACAGCAATGGACTTAAAAGGAAGAACAGCCTAGCTAGCTGTATGGTGGGCTCCAGGTGTGCAATTCTGAACCAGTCAGACAAGACAAATAATACCATGTAGCCCTAAAGTGTGACTTCAAACAATGCAGGAATTGCAGCAGCTGAAGGGGAATATAGAAGCAACTGGATAAGCATGAAAAGTAAGATAAAACTTGAAAGAACTTTGAAGAGAGCTTAACCCCACACTGATATGATTATGATTACTTTGTTTAATATATTATATCATCTTGACTGGCCCTTGTAAATAAACAGAAACATCACAAGAAGGCAGAACCATAAGCACCCCCCAAAGGGGGTGAACAGCTGTAAACCAATCAGCAATGTTTCCAGCCACTCAGTATGGAAATAACTGGGGGAAAAAAAGAGTGGGAGCTAAGCCACTGCTGTAGAAGGTGGGGTACAAAAAAAAAGACTAAAATGCCAGGAGACTCAGTCTCTTCAGCTTTACAGATAAGCCTCACCTTCACTTCCAAACACTATTAAAATGACATCCCATATATCAGGAGAAGCATGTTCCTATGTTCCCACCAGCTCAACTGTAGTGAACCTAAAGGTTTTTAGGGAATGGAGCCAGGAGATACGTTAAAAGAATGCCAAATTTTTGTTTTACTTCATATTTAACTGGTCATCCTGTATTTATCTTTTAACCCTAAAACAAATCAACAAAAACTTTACCAAGTCTGTACAGTTCCGTCGCCAACAATGTGTCTCTTAAATCTGTGCCTCGCTCCCTATCCTTGCCCTGATGTAAGCAGTATTGCTTGCTACCTCACCTCTATTTTTCATTTACCACTGGGGGGTGCATTCAATTCACAGTCTACTGGATGCCAGAGGGTGAAAAGACCACAGAAGCGTTTCTACACGGTAGCCGCTAGGGGACCGCTCCGGAATGTTTCAGATTTCATAACCAGGCTCTGCTCACGCGCTTCTACGCAACTGTGCGCACGCGCGCCACTGCTTTCACGCCAGATCCGTACTGCGCAGGCGTTCTCGTGAGTGCGCGCCGCTATTGGTAGGACTCTGGAAAGGAGTGGGTGGAGCCGCTGGGAGCGCGCACGCGCGAAGACTGGGGACTGCCGGCTGCGGGGCTCAGCTCTCCGGGAATCTCACTCTGGGTGGAGATGCCTAGCGGGGGGTCGCGACCGGAGGACGGAGCCGCGCCGGTCCCTACGGAGAACTCGATCCTGCACAAAGAGGACCTGAGCAGTAAGGTGAGTGTGGGACGAGGCGAGAAGGACCTATGGCTCGGGATAGACCTCCGCTCGTCCCCGGAGAAGACCCACCGCGGCCCCGTGGCCCGGCCTTGGCTTTGTCCAGCAGCGTTGCTCTTTTTAGGCTTAACACGTGACAGCTACAGTTAAAGGGAGACCATGAAACTTGCCCCGAGGTCAGACCAAGGAGGCAGTGTGGCGGAGGTTTCGTTGTTGTTTTTCCTCTACTCTTTGAACTTTTAGAAAATACCGCCCACCCCAAATCGGCTGCAGATATTCTCCATCTCAGAAAATGTCACCACTTCCCAACCATTTGTCCATGCCAGTACCCTGGCAGCCATCCCTGACGTCCATTATGAAGTCCTATCAATTCTACTTATAAAGTTCCTTTCGATGTGTGTCCCTTCATCACTTTGTACACACAAAACATCCTAAACCAGCCACCTTCATCTACCATCAGAAACCCTGCAACGGTTTCCTTACTGGTCTCCTTCATTAATTCCTTAACTCGTCCCGACCTGTTCTCCACTCTAGCCAGAGCAATGATCCTTAAACACGTGTCTGATTGTAACAGTTCTACCCCCCCAAAAAAGAGGTGGGAGCCGATAATGTAAGTCTTAACTGCCATAAACAGACATTTAAAAATACATATAAATTGGAGATGGGGATGGTTATAGCCTTTCAGGTATTAGATGTCCTAGATTCTACTTTGGTTCTGTTCAAAACTAACAGTGACAACCTTGGGCAAGTCTGTAATCTTGCCAGTTTCCTTGTTTGAAGTAAAGTAAAATGTGTACCTGCCATTCCTCAAATAAATGGAAATGCGCTATTCAAACATAAGTCTCAAGGAGGTTGTACAAATTCGATGTTGAAATTCAACTCAATCTAGTCAATTACTACACTAACCCCAACTGAGAGACAGAATGAATGGTACACCCTGGTGGGAGGTGAATTTTCAAACCACACACATGGCATTCTGATTACTATGTAGCAAACTACTTACAGTGATGTGTGACAGATTCCTGAGGTGTGCAAAGCAGGAGAAAGATTATAAAATCTGCTTTTAGAGGCTCTAGTGCTACTATATAATAGTCATATTCTCAAAACAAGTACTGTTACTGAAAAGAGGAACTTCATTACCACTTAGTTGAGCCTTCTCCAACTAATAAAAAGTGAGGCCTAATTCAACAATGCCAGCTAGTCTTTGAAATACAAAGTGGAATAAAGCAAAGATGAAAAGTGTTAGCTCTTACAGATCCAGATAGGGCATTTAGTACTACTCGCTTGTTCAGAATGTCTGGCTGTGCCATTCAGTATATAAATCATGAAAAGTATTAGTATCAAGTGTGTGAGGGTAGCCCAACCCTCATTCCATTTGCTGTTTAGAAAAGGAAAAAAACAAAAAGAACTTGAATCATTGAAAAACTGTAATTACTTTTCATGTGTATTGTCTTTCTTGAGTAAAAGGTGTAAACCTTGTTTAGTAACTATTGCCCTTGCATGAATGCTCATTACCAAAATCAAACCCTCTGTCTGGACTCAATGGACTAAACTTGACAAGTCTAATGATGCTTTCCTCCTCCAACTTTCCACCACCTGCACCTCCACACAGACTGCCATTAAAAAGAATCTTTATATTCACAGACTGCCTGTTTGGACAATCAGTACAGTATATTCCCTTTAGCCCATCTGTTAAAGGGCCCTCACTAAGCATACTTTGATAACCTGTGATTTAAGTTTTTCTTTTATTTCAATAGATTAAAGAACAAAAAATCGTTGTGGATGAACTTTCTAACCTGAAGAAGAACAGGGTGAGTTATTAGAGTAATTCTGAATAGTATGCAGGAATATTTGATTATAACTTACTGATTATATACTAAAGTTATATTAATTATATATAAAAGATTTATATTGACATTAAAATAATAAGATTTCAGCATCTTTTCAGTTAAATTGCAAAAGTGAAAAGGAGCTAAGATTTTATATATACATGTATATATATATCTCATATACAGATATATATATTTAATCATAGTTGATGATATCTTTTCCCCTCCTGTGCAATTCACATTACTTATGAACCAAATGATACTAATTGTACTATGGTGTCTTGGAGCTGTAATCACTAATGATATTTATTTTATAGAACTTGAATTTGGTGTTTTCTTTTGAAATAAATGAACTTTAAATATATTGAAAAGAGAAGAAACTATTCCTTTAAGTGAATGTGGATAACTGTTGGAAAAAACAAAGGATAAATTGCTTCCCCTTACCCTCCAATTTTTTTTTACACAAATCTTCCAAGTATTTAACATGGTTATGTAAAGATATTTCCATTAGTGTATTCATAAACAAGCAATCTACTGCTTCATTTGTAATTATGCTGCACAAATGACATTTTAAAGTTCCAGAAGAAATATTTCGAGCCTTTTAAAGCATGTTAAAGACTGATGACTGACAGGTTAGACATTTCTGATATTTTACTTGTATAACATTAGAAGTTAAATTGACATACTTGATACAATTGATACAAACTTTCTAGAGGGCAAATTGTCAGAATGTACCAAAGCCTTAAAAGTCTATAATACTTGGACCCAACAGTTCTGTTTAAAAGAATTGATACTTAGAAAAGAATCATGGGAGTGCCCAAAGATTTTGTTACAGAGATGTTCACCACAACATTAATTTATCACAGTGAAAAGTTGGTAACACCATTAATGTCTAAAACTTGAGAACTAACCAACTGTAATATGTTATACACATATAGTCATGTTATAAATATCTTTTTATGTAATTATTCCTTATTAATAAGGTGTTCTCAATATATTGTTCATTGATAAAAGCAAATTATAAATCTGTAGTTATAATAGGAGCCTTTTTTTGTTAAAAATATTGGTATTGTTTATGCAGAGAAAAAGTTTCACCTCAATATAAATGGTAACAAGTTCTAGATGGTACAACAATAGGTGACTCTTATATATCCATATTTGCTAAGGTATTGTTCTGAACATATGTTAGTGAAGTTCAAGAATAAGCAATAGTAGGGTTCAAAGTTCTGATAGCTGATACTTTTTAGATGAAATCATATTAGCCTGAATTATGTTTTGCAGAAAGTATATCGGCAGCAACAGAACAGCAACATATTCTTTCTTGCAGACCGAACAGAAATGCTTTCTGAAAGCAAAAGTAAGTTTTTCGGTATATTACATGCAAATATACAAATTCTTTTGTAGGCTTTCTATAGAATTTCGTGGTAGTACCTAATTACACTGTCTATATCTGAATGTTTAATATATATCTAAAGATTGGATGGTAGTATACCTGTAAATGAAATTGATGCAATGGTTGGGTTTTCATCAAGTTAGCCTTCCAAACATGCATGTACAGTAAAGATGAAATCAAATAAAAATACATAAGATGTGTTCAAAAGCAATAATTATTAATACATCTTTAGAGTTTTAGACAGAGCTAGGTATGAAAAACTGTTCTGCTACTTTCTACCTTTGTGACTTCGAGTGAATTACTTTGAGCCTCCGAAGTCTTGTGGGATTTTAATAAGATGATATATATGAACTGCAAAAACAAGCATCTAATAAACTATTTTCCTAAAAGATAAACACTTATTATTAAAAGCCTGTTGTAAGTTGTTCACCTTAACAGTGCATATACTCAAATGGTTTGATCTTGGTAAATACTGTATGTCATCCTATGAATTACTAGGCAGTTTTTATTTTGCATAATAGTTCTTTTCCCCTCCCTCCACAGATATATTGGATGAGCTGAAAAAAGAATACCAAGAAATAGAAAACTCAGAGAAGACCAAAATCAAGAAATAGTCAACTTGATTTCACATAACAATGTGTGGCATTTGTTGTTCTGTAAGCTTTTCTGTGGAGCATTTCCACAAAGCTTTGAAAGAAGACTTACTGTATAACCTTAAACGGCGAGGACCTGATAGTAGTAAACAGTTGTTAAAGTTCAATGCTAATTACCACTGTTTATTTTCTGGTCATGTCCTTCACTTAAGAGGTATTTTGACTGCCCAGCCTGTGGAAGACGAAAGAGGCAATGTGTTCCTGTGGAATGGAGAAGTCTTTAGTGGGATAAAGGTTGAGGCTGAAGAGAATGATACTCAGATAATGTTTAATTATCTTTCCTCTTGTAAGAGTGAATCTGATATTTTGTCACTCTTCGCAGATGTCCAAGGTCCTTGGTCTTTTATATATTATCAAGCATCTAGTCATTACTTATGGTTTGGTAGGGACTTTTTTGGCCGCCGTAGCTTGCTTTGGCATTTTAGTAATTTGGGCAGGAGTTTCTGCCTCTCTTCAGTTGGCAGTCAGACATCTGGTATGGCCAATCAATGGCAAGAAGTTCCAGCATCTGGAATTTTCAGAATTGATCTCAAGTTCTCTTCCATTTCCAATTCAGTCATTTTAAAATTATATCCTTGGAAATACATTTCTGGAGAGAATGTTATCAAAGAATGTGTTAATAGCCTGACTCAGATTTCAGCAAACTTGCCAACGTTTGTATCAGTGGTAGAGAATGAAGCCAAACTATATGTTAAAGAACCTGTTGTTCCTTTAAATATGACGTTGCCACAATGTCCATTTGAAATTCATTGCAGTAACATTTCCAGTGTCCCACCTACGAGAGAGACACTGGAGGTCTTTCTTACCGATGGGCACATGAAGAAAGTTGTTCAACAATTCATTGATGTCCTAAGTGTCGCAGTCAGGAGACGTGTCTTGTGTTTACCTAGGGATGACAGTCTGGCACCAAGTGAAGTTTTGAAAACTTGTGAAAGGAAAGCAAATGTTGCAATCCTGTTTTCTGGTGGTATTGATTCCATGGTTATCGCGACCCTTGCTGACCGTCATATTCCTTTAGATGAACCAGTCGATCTCCTTAATGTGGCTTTCAAGACTGAAGAAAAGACCCTATCAACTAACTGTAACAAAAAGAGAAAACAGAAACATCATTGTGAAATACCTTCTGAAAAATCCTCTAGAAATACTGCTGCAGCTGCTGATAGTGCTGACAAACAATCTACTGTACCAGATCGAATCACAGGAAGAGCAGGACTGAAGGAACTACAAGCTGCTAACCCTTCCCGGATTTGGAATTTTGTTGAAATTAATGTTTCTCTGGACGAACTGCAAAAACTAAGAAGAACTCGAATATGCCACTTAGTTCAGCCCTTGGATACAGTGTTGGATGATAGCATTGGCTGTGCAGTCTGGTTTGCTTCCAGAGGAATGGGTTGGTTAATGACTCAGGACGAAATGCAGTCATATCAGAGTAATGCAAAGGTATGGCATATTATTTCTGCTAGAATTTTTGAGACCTAATTTTGACCCTTAAAGCTTTGAACATGGTTGCAGGAGGATAGCATATTTTGGTTGCATTTAAACTACTACACACTTTTTGAAATTTTGGGCATATTTTACTCTTATGACTTCACCTTGTAGTTTTCCTTTGAAAATGTTATTGAGATTGTATTTTCAAAACTTTGCTTTTATTTCCCTTACTGTATAATAGAAAACATTTTTTCACATGGAAATCTTTCAAACTTTATAGGTAGTTCTTACTGGAATTGGTGCTGATGAGCAACTTGCCGGTTATTCCCGTCATCGGCTCAGCTTTCAGACACAGGGAATGGAAGGATTGAATAAGGAAATCAAGATGGACATGGGTCGAATTTCGTCCAGAAATCTTGGTCGTGATGACAGAGTTATTGGTGATCATGGGAAAGAAGCAAGGTAATCTTATCGATCTTAATGTTGTTGAGTAATTTTGTAAAAACAGTAGACTGTAGAAGGAGATTTTTTTTTATGTTTCTTTTTTTTTGGAGACTGTTCAAATGAATAACAGCAACAATATTATCTTGGCTTAATATTACAAACACAGTCAGTCAGAATCAAAGCTGGGGAGGAACCAGAGGAACAGTTGTTTTCCAGAACTCATCTCCAAGCAATGTCTTCCCTGTAGTTTTCAAAGACAATACAGCAACATCATGCTTTTAAAACTACCATGAAAGAGACTAAAATTGAGAAAGTGAAATACTAAGCAGGTATACTCCCAAGGACGTACTCCCAAGCTTTCTCCTCCCACCTCGTATGTATACCTCCATACTGATTTAAATGGTTTTCCAGTCCTGAATTCCCCTCTGTGTTTTTTTAACACAATTAGTCATCTGTTTCAGAGTACCTAAACCTTCAGAGATATCAAGGCATTTCATATGTGTATTCTTTTGTGATCTCAAGTGTTTATTTTTACCAACAATATATTTCCAATGGTAATAAACAACTGCTTGAACACAGCTTTTTAAAGCATTAAGAATACAAGAAGGTGTGTTATTTAGTTATAAAAAATGGAAGTTTATTCAAGTAGTTTATTAAATAGTAGTTTATTAGAAGGTGCAAGTATGCAAGAACAGGGAGTCCAAACAAGCTTCATAGGAACTGGAACATCATAATACACCACTCTGAGATTTCACACTTCTTTGTCCCTCCTTGAGTTTTTCCCTCTGTCCACTAAACCATGGTTGCCTTTACACAGTCATCATCCTTACTTTTACCAGTTCTGACACATATAACATTCTGACTACTATGTCATTACATCCTAATTTTCAAAATTCCATTATAAAGAGAGAAATATTTATAATGCAAATACAAAATATACAAATACAAAATATGTAAAAATAATACAATACAAAATATGTAAAATGGTTTCCCTTTTGAAGTGCATGTGGGAATGTGTGTGTGTGTATAAAAGAGAAATTCAATCCATTGTTTCAGGTAGGTCAGAAATAAGGGAATATTTTTTATTTTGGTAAAAGTTAATTCTTTTTTTTTTCAGCTCTAATTTCTGTATTTATTATAATTTTTTTTATTTACAATAACTTAAAATGCATTTTTCTTTAACATTTTATCTTGGCCTTCTTTCTATTTTATTTGTTTTTATTGATATATAGTCTTATTTTAGTTTCAAGTATACAACACAGGGGTTCAACAGTTACCCATATTAAATCCTCACCCCCACTAGTACAGCTATTCGTCAACATAGGAAGATGTTACAGAATCATTGGCTATATTCTACATGCTATACTACTACCCCTGTGACCAACCTACATTATGATTGAGAATTTTTTGTGCCTCTTTATCCTACTCACTCTTCCCACTCGCTCCAACCTGTCCCCCATGGTAACCACCAGTCCCTTCTCTATGAGTCTGCTGCTGTTTTGTTCCTTCTGTTTTGCTTTGCATTTATATTCCACAAATAAATGAAATCATGTGGCATTTGTCTTTCTCCTCCTGACTTATTTCACTTAGCATAATACACTCGTGGTTCATCCATGTTGTCACAAATGGCAGGATTTCTTTCTTTTATTATGGCTGAATAATATCCTACTGTATATGTACCACATCTTTATCCATTCATCAATTGATGGACACTTAGGTTGCTTCCATATCTTGGCTGTTGTAAATAATGCAGCAATAAATGGGTGCATATCTTTTCAGATCAGGGATTTTGTTTTCTTCAGATAAATTCCTAGAAGTGGAATTGTTGGGTCCTACGGTATTTCTATTTTTAGTTTTTTTGAGGAACCTCCATACTGCTTTTCATAGTGGCTACAGCAATTGACATTCCCACCAACAGTGTAGGGAGGCTCCCTTTTCTCCACATCTTTGTCAACACATTATTTCTTGTCTTTTGGATAGTGGCCATTCAAACTGATGTGAGGTGATAACTCATTGTGGTTTTGATTTGCATTTCCCTGATGAATAGTGGTGTGGAGCATCTTTTTCATGTGCCTGTCGGCCATTTGTATTTCTTCTTTGGAGAAATGTCTGTTCAGGTCCTGCACCTGTTTTTTAATTGGGTTATTTGTTTTTTCAATGTTGAGGCATATGAGCTCTTCATGTATTTTGGGTCCTAACCCTTCATCAGATAAATCATGTACAAGTATATTCCGCTATACTGTAGGCTGCCTTTTTTGTTCAAAAGCAGTTAATTCTAAAGCCCCATATGATACCCTTTGGTAAAAATGCACATAAAGAATGTTTAAAACAGCTAATACAGAATTGTGATTTAACAAATACCATTATAATAGCTAAATCTAATAAATTTATTATTAATTTTGACATACATATTAACAGTAGTACTTTGACTAGGTTATCTTATATATAAATTTGCTTTTAAAATTTATTCATTTTTATAAAATATTCCATGTAACAAATACCTTTACCCCTTCCAGTCTCTCTACTTGAGCGCCAATCAATTGTAATGAAATAGAAACACAAGTGTAATTGTATTGCATTTTAAAGAATTGAGATGGCAGAATGATAAAGTATTTTAAACAAAAAACAGAATTTTGTAGGAAATTAGGAAACCAAAAGGCAGGAAGTTATTTTTTTAGTCTAATGCTTTGTTATGTTACACCATTTACTGCTATTTAAATGATTTAAATGCAATTAAACAGTTTTGAGACCATAAGTTTTACCGTAAGTAAGTGTTTAACAAGTTCAGGATTGTAGAGCCCTTGATTTACTATCTCTAAAGTTCAATTTCTTTAGACATGATAAAGAGCAGACACAGACTGAATAATTGACTTAAGACCATGTCTGTTTTCAAGGCTTCCCAAAGACATTTTGTGAAACAATTTGAAATTATTTCTTGACATCATTGGCCTAATTTATTTATTTATTGAAACAAGTTATTATGTAGCGTATGTATTAGAATTAGTCTTGTTATGAATTAGTTATGAAATACTTTTTAAATGTGATCAAATTTTAGCTGTAAAATTGTGTAATAACTAGAATATTTTTGAGAAAAATAATGTCCTCAGAAATTTTTATACTTTTAATTTTAACATATTGAATAAAATACAAGAGAAATAATAGATTGATCTTATTTTGTTATAGTGGCTATATTTATATTTATCTATTTTAGATTTCCTTTTCTGGATGAAAATGTTGTCTCCTTTCTAAATTCCCTACCAATCTGGGAAAAGGCAAACTTGACTTTACCCCGTGGAATTGGTGAAAAACTAATTTTGCGTCTTGCAGCAATGGAACTTGGTCTGACAGCCTCTGCTCTTCTGCCAAAACGGGCCATGCAGTTTGGATCCAGAATTGCAAAAATGGAGAATAATAATGAAAAGGCATCTGATAAATGTGGAAGGCTCCAAGTCATTTCCTTAGAAAACCTTTCTATTGAAAAGGAAATTGAAACATAATTATTTCACAATGTCACATTTACTGAATGATGATTATATAAAAATAAAACACTGTCTGTTTTAACATTGTAAAATTCACAAATTAGGTGAATTTAACTGTGTTGCTTAATATAACCAATTTAGTCAAATTAACACTCTGGAGAGAGAGATTACACATGAAAGAACAACTTGGATATTTTAAACTGTATATTAAACATTGCTTTGAACTCCTACATGGTACTGTCCCATCTGCGACACTAAAAGAAGCCAGCTTTCTTGGTAGCTACAACCAAAAAAAAAACAACTCAATTTATTGTTGTTAGGGGCCTGGCTTAGATTGGTCCCTGTTTGACAGATGAGAGAACTAAGGTTTAGAGAAGTTAAACAATTTGCTTGAGGGTCATACTTCCTGAGCAATAGTTGGTGCTTCTATTACAGCTCTCTAGGCAGCCCATTTTCCCACTCTGAGAATTCTTGAAGACTATTTAAAACATTGTCCTGTCCAACAAATCTCTGACCTCCCTCCTCTGTCCCATTCTCAGCTCATGACCTGGACTTTTCACAGAGATCAAAGTATTAGGCCAAGAACTGCCTCCACTTTCCAACACCAGAATTTCTAACTTACCTGTAGGTACACCCATACTTTTCTCCCTTCTTGCCATTAGAAAAGAAAATGTATCCATCCATCCATCAAAATGTGGTACCTCTACCCATTCTCTGTATCCCAATCCTTCCTTTCAGGAACCTTACACTTTTCTCTCTAGTGTCTTCAGCCTCTTCTCTGTAAGATCTGTATTATCAT